AGACCTGACCCTCTTCAACAAGCGTGAGACAGTGGTAGTTGGTAGTGGTTCACAGCAGGCATTCCTGCTCTCCACTACCACCCACACCGACAACATTTGAGGATTTCCTTGCCACTTTGGAGCCTTGGGAAACAGCTCTCTACGACGAGCTTGAATGGATGGTGGACGCTTACTCCGTCCTGCAGATGTCACGGCCATGCCCTTCTGGTGGCAGGATGGGGCGAGACATTGAAGCCGGTAAAGCGAGTTTGCTTGGGTTCTGGCAGACAATCGCGGTCAAATTGTGTTCGGTGCTCTGGTCCAGTTTTGGTATGGTTCCGACTTCTACAGGGGAGGCCTATGGCATTCTATCCCCTACTTGCCTTCTTCGACGATGCTGGAGTTCTACGATCAGACCAGCATGAGAATTATGTACACTTATGCGACAATGAATCTGTTACAAATAAGTGCGCTAGCTGTCTCGAGTACGAGGGCTGGTACCCCAATGATTCGCTGAACTCCGACTGGGATGTTTTGCAACAGATCGAGGATCGTTCGGGCTGCGTCACAGTGCCAAGATGGAGCACATCAAATCGCACCAGGACAAGCACAAGGCCATCGAAACACTACCCCTAAAAGCACAACTGAACTGCAGAGCTGACAAACTGGCAGGCAGTTACATGAACAGACACGTGACACAGGATCACTCCAAGGTACTCCGATTTCCGGCAAACCTGCCCCAGCTGCACCTTCCCAAAGGAACATGCACATACAAACTTCCCAGAACACTGCGGCATCTCAGGAACGACCAGCCCCTGTTCAACCACATTGTCAAACCGAATCCCGACTGGGACGAGGACACCCCTGCACTGGTTGACTGGACAGCCCATGGTCGAGCTGTCAACCGTCACGAGATCCACAAACCGACAATTGTGAAGTTTCTATTTCAATTGTTGCCAGTTGGGAAAAGGATCGATCCACCGGGATGACCCCAAGTATGATCACCACTGTCCCCGTTGTGGCGGTGATCACGAGACTGAATCCCATGTTTACCGATGCCCGCATGTTGACGTGGATTTGTGGCGAGGGACCATGCAACGAGCGATCAGCACAAAGTTGCGCAAGGATTCCACAGACCCCTTCCTCCTGGAAATTGTTCTGGATGGACTACAATACCACTTTGAAGATCGATTTCTCCACCCATGGCATTACCCAGACAGGTATAGGGACCTTGTTGACACTCAAAATCTCATTGGTTGGGATAATTTCCTGAGAGGACGTTTGTCCACACACTGGGCTAAGCATCAAGATGCATATCTGCATCGGGTCGGCTCCCAGGAGACCACCAAGACCGGGCAGCTCTGGGTCGCCAACCTAGCCTCACTGCTCATCAAGCAGTGGTGGAACCTGTGGGAGGATCGAAATGCTGCCAGGCATGGCAAAGACAGGGAAGACCAGTGGAAGAAGAAGCACGAACAGCTTCAGCGGGAGGTGGAACTCATTTACGAGAAAGCGGATCTGATCCCAGCGGAGCTGGTGGATTTTATCTTCAAGCGACCGCTTGACGAGCAAATGGCAAAGGGCCCAGGCGACATCAAAGCGTGGCTTGCCAATTGGCTGCCTGTCGTCGACAAGGCACTTAGGGACGAGCATGCACGCACAGTGCAGAACAATGACACAGGGTAACTACGCACAGAGGGGGTCTTACCGTAGAAATAGATGGCAATCCAGCCAAGGGTAGCTAGTTAGTCGTACAGCACCCTCCGGAGTTTTGTTAAAATTTCTCCGGTGGGGGGCTTACACTCGGCCCATCCTAAGTGGGCGCACTCGTGCGCCTGAGGTATATGGGTTCGTCACGGCACCGTTCAGCGGATCGTCTGACGAGGTGTAGCCTTTAAAAATAAAATTTCGTTATTCTTCATCGTCAACAAGAATAGCGCCTCTTGGTGGCGCAACGTTCCGTGGACGGCTGCCGTACAAACCTGCCATGGTGGTCGGATATCAACAAATAGATTGGATCAGGTAGATAGATCAATCGGTTGATGTCAAACTGTTGCCAAGTTCGAAAAAAAGAAGAAAAGTGAAGATTACTCCACTTGCAATCTGGTCGGATTGGAGGGAAGATCCAAGCGTTGAGGGCGTTCGCCCTTAAATAACCTTGGTGGGATTGCGCATGCAGCCCTGCCTGGCTCTCCAAGACTTAAGCTCTGTATCATTTCGAATGTGTGTCTGTAAAAAATAGTACTTTTTGAATAACATTCCACCGACTCAACTGCTATCCCAGGCGTTACAGCTCGCGAAAAAATTTCCTCGAGAAATTTAGCGGGAATACGCACGATTTTATGTTTCCCGGGACAAAGAACCATGTACTTCCCCCCAAAGGCTTCAGGAGATTTACTGGGGCTTCCGGATGTTATATGTTTCTACTTAGGCTGTAAATGTAACGTTACGTGTGTAACATTTTATCCTTATTTCATGCGAATCTTTCCAAAGCCACAAACACGAAGGCAGGAAGGTGCCGCCCCAAATGAATTTTTGGCGATTTGATGAATAGTGATGAAAATGAACTGTATGTGTTGACTGGTAATGAATTTTTGATAGATGAGTTGAATGGTGATGAAAAGTGATGAAAATGATGAATCTGTGATGACTGGTGATGAATAGTGATAAAAATGTACAGGATGACTTTATGTACCACTGACAGGTGTCAAAATGGGAACTCGTTTTGTCCAAACCAGAATCGGAAGCGGTCATTTCTAGCAGAAGTGGTCATTTCGCGAATCCTGCATTGAAATGACTAGTTGGAATAAAGAAAAGATTGAAGCAAATAAAATGAATTTTATCACATGGCAACAGTGTTGACCAAATGGCTATTAGCTTTACCAATACCTTGATCTGATCAATTCTTTGCTAGCAGTAGCTCACCAACATACTCACAGACACTCCCCTTGAAAAGAGTTGATCAACTTCAAGGTTTTCAATGGAGCTTCTGGGAAAAATCAGGCTTGGATTTCATCTTGTTGTCATGTTGCCATGGATTTCTCCATGGGAAAGGTCCTCCAGTCTTCACTCTGGGCACTCAATCTGCACTGTAGAGTCTGGTAGAGGAATGGGGTGGCTTTGCATGAAGACTGGAGTACCCATCCCAAGGCATCAAAGGGAATTGTTGGCTCTTGTTGGCAAAAATTGAGCTGGTTTCATGTTTGTAGTCGGCCGATCACTCAAAGCAGTAGTACGGTAGTGACGATGCCGCTTGTTGCATTAGTAGTAGCACTAGCAGAGGCTTCACGGCCGCTACTACGGTACCGGTAGAGGCGTCATGGTTGCTCGGTGCAATTGGTTCCGTGATGGATCGATCCACCGAACGGAAGAAGCAAGTTATTTCCAGTCCTTGCCATTATCAAGGGGTCGCTTGTTGCAATAGTAGTAGTCGCTTGTTGTTGCGGTAGAGGCGTCATGGTCGCTCCGATCGCTCGTGGAAGAGGAGGCGTCATGGTCGCTCCGTGGAAGAAATGGACCGAATCGATCCGTCGGCCGATCGATCGATCAATCGATCGAACGGCTGCCGCTTTCGAGCCTATCCAAACAAGAGGAGCTTGTCATGGTGGTGAGTAGTAGCGTTTGTTGAGAGGAGTAGCCGCTGTAAAGAGGAGGAAGCATCATCTTGATAGAGGTATCGATCGAAATAATGAAAGAACAGGTGTCCCGGTATGGACGAGTGGCTTGGATCGATCGATCCGAGTGATGTCAGTTGATATTAAGGTTAAGGCTGTATATAATATGTCCCTTAAGTCTTTTCGAGGAACGTTCCAAGAGCATTCGAATGTCTTACCGGGAGCAGGCTTGCGTTTGTCTCGATAGCTTAGATTCAGCCTGTACTACTGTTTTACTAGTCTATAGGTGGTGGTGAATAGTGATGAATGGTGATGATAAATCTGAGTATGTATGTGATGAATTGGGTTGAATAATGATGAAACAAATGGCCTGGTGATGAATTGTGATGAATTGGTGAAGAAAATGATGAATGATGAATACTGATGAATTGGATTTCAGATTTTCATCAAAGGCAGGACCTTCCAGCATCACCATGCTACTCTCGGGAAAACAACCGGAAATCTAAAACCACCGGAAAACACTATTTTCCTTATTTGTTATCCATAATGTTTTATTCCCAAGTCTCATTTTTATTTTTGTATTCCAAGCCCCCAAATTTCCGGTGGTCTTCCCACGACTCATGTAGAAATGTACTGGGCTCTACAGACGTCCGGTGGTTTCTGCAAGAGTAGCATGGTCCCTTGGTGCTGGCGGCACTGGCATGGCTTATTGCCCTTGCGGTCAGTGGTTAGCAAATTCGAACTCTTCTGCCTCCGTTCCATGAGGGCTTTTTTATGAAGCTGTTCCAGCGACTGAAATGAAAGTATTGAGTGCGCTTATAATAGTACAGTAGGTACTGTGGTTTTTTTATCTATCTATCGAAGAAGGGGGAACTGTTCCACGGCTTCGAAGCAATGTAAATTGTTTGAATGTTCGGAGAAACTTACTTTACCAACAAAGGGGGACTGGGGAAAGCGTTGGCAAGAAAAGAAGAGCACTGGTCTGTCAAGTGTGGCCTCCGACATCCCTGCCTCGAACATCAACAAAAGGTGTGTATGTCTTCTATCTACAGGCAAAGAGTTTATCCGACGATGATGGCCTCCATCTATCTACTATCTTTGTGGGGGCTTCCGTGCGTGGGAAGCCCACCCGCCCGAGCACTCTCAAATCCTTGGAAAGCGGAAGCAAAACAGTTACTGCGTATTCGTATTGCTGTCATCGAATCGAATCAGAATAGAATCCTAAAAGACACGCAGTTAGTCATTCATTCAATCTATCCACTGGCTTGTAGAGCTGGATAGCTAGTTCTGACTGACTACCAATACAGTACAACCACACCAAGGAAACCCAAAGCCAAAGATTGTCTTTGATAGTCTTACCCACCGATAGCTAGTCTAGTCAAGAAGCAAGAGAGAGAAAGACAAGAAGCAAGAGAGAGAAAGACAAGAAGCAAGAGAAAGAGAGAAAGATTGAGAAGACAAGTGTAGCAGAGAAGAGAAGAAAAGCAGAGATGAGTTCCCGACAGCCCAAGTCGATCCTGAAGGCGAGGTCCAAGACTCCACCGCCTCGCCGAACTACTAGAACTAGTGTTTCTACTACTAGTACCACGGGTAGTACCACCGCTAGTAGTAGTGCGAGAGCCCAGCGCCCTCCGATTCGCCGTCGAGTCTCGTTTTCGTCTGCGTTTGATAACGACGACGATGACAGCAGCAGCGAGGACAGCAACGACGACAAGAGCAACGCTGCTTCTGTGAATTCTGGAGGTTCCCTGAAGGGCATCTTTAAGACCCCCCAGAAAAAAGATCGGAACGACCAGAATCGATCGGACGCAAGCCTTACGTCGGGACCTTTTGGCAACGACAACAATGGCACCAGCAAGGACAGCAACGACGACAAGAGCAACGTTGCTTCTGTGAAGAGTGGACGTTCCCTACAGGGCTTTTTTGCCACCCACCAGAAAAAAAGTCGGAAACAAGACAATACATCGGACCGAAGCCTCACGTCGGGACCTTTTGGCAACGACGACAGCAGCGACGACGACAGCGATGTGAACAGTCGAGGTTCCTTACAGTTTGACCTGTTTGCGACGACAACCCCCAAGAAGAAAAATCGTAACGACCAGAATCAATCCGATCAAAGTCTGACATCGGGACCCTATGGTTTTGACGACAATGGCAGCAGCAAGGACAGCGACGACGACGATGACGAAGAATTTGGAATGGCAGTGGAAATCTCGTTGGATCAATCCAAACAAGAGAATGAGGAGGAAATTTCCACAGAGCAGCCACCTGCTGTGGATCGCCGTAGCCAATTCCACAATTTTTTCCTTACCAAGGATAAAGCCAAGAGAATTACCCAAAACAAGTTGGAACGCGAGAAACAAGAGGCAGCCCAGGAGGCGGCAAAATCGACACAAAGCAATAATGAGGACGATGATGCGGACGATAGTCCCCCCGTCGTGGATCGTAGAACTCTCTACCGTGACATGTTCATGACCCCAAAGAAGAAAAAACGCATGGAAGAAGCGCAACGAGAACAAGATCTCAATGCTCGACGTACTACCCTAGCCATTGACGATGCTCCTGGATTCGACAACAAAAAGGGTCGCACAGATGATGACAATGATGACGACAATTATTTCTTTGATGAAAATGTACCACATGCCACTCCTCCTCCCAAGGAGAAAGACGAAGACGATGACAGCGAGGGCATGTACGAAGATTATTTTGATGCCCACAGCGATTCGGCCAGTTGCAGTTCTCTCGATACGGCCGAAGAGATGGAAAAATCGCTGCGAGGAAACGTTATTTACGTCATATACACGTACTTCAAGGACAGTTTCATCGCGGCACTCTTGGAACCAGTCTTTCGATGCATTGTGAAACTCTGGAAACGACTCATGAACAATCAGGACGATAATAATCCTTTGAACGAATTGGAAGACATTGAAGGAGCTATGGAAGGAGCCGTACACAATCCAATGGCCCAGAGTCATTATGGTGGTTTTGGTGGTGGAACAACAACAACCACACAAGGTGCCGCTACCACCACCACCACGACAACATCCACGGGAACCAGCGCCACCACCACCACCACTACGGCAGCATCCACGGGGACCACCAGTGGAACCACCACCGGCACGGCGGGATTTGGTGTTTTCGTACCTCCGCCACCGGGAGTCGCCGAAATGGCAACGGCGGCTGCCAACACGGCTGCCAGTGCTTCCGCAAGTGGTGCCGCGGCTGCAGGAGGAACCACCGCGGCCGCCGCAACCACCACCTCCGTGGCCAGTACCGGTAAGTCCATCGTTTCAGTATTAAATTTTATTGATTGATTGTCCGCACAAATCATGCATCTCACAACGTTTTTTTTGCTTTGGGTGCCACATGTAGTCGCGAGTACCGTGGCCAGTGCGGGGGCATCCCAGCTTGGCACGGCGGTTGGAGTCGCCGCAGTGGCGGCAGCTGCCGTGTCGTCGGGTGTCTCATTCACGGCACCCAAACACAAAATGACATTCTCACACGACTTTGTTCCTCCCGTATGTCTAGAACCCCAAGTCATGAAAGAAGGTCATGTCCAAGTGCAAATTCAAGGACTGCCTCCGTCGTCTCTTCCGGCGCGAAAAACAGATCTTGAAATTTTGTTTCGTGAGGTGTACAACGAATTGACGGTACGTGCCGGTATGGTCGAGAAAATTATTAATTGTTCCGCTCGGACCGGTCCATACGAAGGACTCGATTTGATTTGATTTGATTCGATTTGATTCGATTCGATTCATTCTAAAGTGGCTGACACCCCATACTCTCGATCGTTACTTTTAAATTTGCAGGGAATGTGCCTAGATCCTTTCGCCAGAGTGTTGTACGATGTTGTGATTGATGACTGGACCACGAGCTACGCCAACGACACAGACTACTTGATCCTGGAGAGCAACTATTCAACGCCAGAGGAAAGGAAAGCCGTCATTGAAGCAAGTGTCACAAGCACAAAGTGGACCGCTCGTCTGGCTTGCGAAGGGTGTCCAGATCACGAACCACTTTTCGAGTTTGGCGACATGTCGGACTTTACATTCCCTGAACAACGCCATCTTGTTGCCTCGAAGCAAGTTATCATCAGCAAAAACATTCTGGCGTCTGCCGGAAGATATCTTCAAACCATTGCGCGTGGTTCACGCGTGTCCCTGAACAACTTTAATGATTTCTTCCCATTGTTCGGAACTACTTTTGGCAATAACATTGAACCAGTATTGAGCGGACGGGTTGTTCAAGACAGTTTTGGCAGTTTCGTCTATCAGCAAGCCCCACCAGACTCACAGAACACAACCGATATTCAAGTCATATATGCTTGCACCAGTTCAGTTCTTAGCCAAGACGCCAATACAACGAATTCGGCCATTGTCGCGGAGATCGGTGTCCATGACTTTGAGAAATTTGAAGGGGTTGTTCTTGAGCACAATGGAACCATTAGATCGCCCTTCATCTCGGAAGAATTGTGGGCTTTTGAAGAAGCCGTTCTAAATTGTGTCAACTCTGGGACAGAGCGAAAGCCACGCAAGTTTTGCGATACAGTTCGACAGAGCGTCGCCTACACTCCAAAGACGTTAACAGACTGTGTAGCCAGCCCCAACCAGATGACTTGCCAAGAAATCCTGCCACCATTGATTGAACTTCTCTATGAAAAAGATCCAGAAGTTCACGACGACATCTCCAAACAGGCAGACACTGAAAGTTTCGACAGTGGAGATGGAGAGTCAACCTCACAAGGAGAAAAGGGTTCAGATGTGGGATTGAAGTCTGAGCCAGTTGTCTCCACTGGAAGCTTCTCCGGGGCTTCCTTGGATGGTGTCAGTGGCTTCTCTACTCAAGGAACCTCCGCCTCCAGCGTCGGGACAGGCGATTCTGTTGCTGGAAACCCAGGTAGCACTGGTGGAATGCCTGGTGGTGCAATAACAACTGGGGGATCAAGTACTGGCACAGCTTCAGCATCCATTGAATCAAATCAGGGTCCCCCCAGCCCCTCACCAGGCAAAGACAATGGTAGCTTTGGATCCGCCAGTGTCTCCCTCGCAAACGGCGAAGAACCAGGATACGCATCCGCAGCTGCCAAGGGATCAGACGCTGCCACAGGCGTGGGATCAGCACCAGTGGACGGTGATACAAGCACTGGATCGGAATCCATGTCAATTGTGACTGACGATCAATCAGGTAGTTCAATGTTGGGAGATGGCGGAAGCACAGGTTCGGCATCAGTATCATTGGACATTGGTGAAGTACATGGTGAGCCATCCTCTGTAACAGCCGGCGATGAGATCAATCCTTCCAATCCAGAACTCAGTCCTACAGAGGATGCAGCAGGCAGCACCGTAGTTTTTGAAACTGGCGGAAGCACCATTGCCAGCCAAGCACCAGGGGTACCGACTGCGATCCCTGGCGGGAATTCAGATGCAGCTTCACCTGTCCCTTTGGTCGCTGGAGGGGACTGGAATCCAACAACCCTCACTGCAGTCCCTGCCATGCCATCTGCACTCTCCAATGAAATTGCCACAGGCAATCCTGGGGGGACAACACAATCGCATGATAGCACGGGCGGAGGCACAACTGGTGGGACAACACCACAGGATAGCACAGGCGGAATCACACCTGGAGGGACAACACCATCAATGGATAGCACAGGTGGAGGCATACCTCCGACACCAGCACAAGATACAAGCAACACATTGTACCCTCTGGAAACCTCAAACTCAGCCAGTCCTTTGTCAGGAGCAAATGCAACGAAAGCTGCCATACCAACGTCAACTCTTCAAGGCCCCAATCCAGGGACTCCGTCTGCTTTATTGAATTCTGGCAGCACGAGTCCAGCAACAGCTCTGACACCTTCCCTGAAAGGTCCAAGTCCACCTAGTTCATCTGGAGTGATCCTGGAAACATCAAGCAATGCCAGCATATCATCTGGAACTATAGACATGGCACAAACTCCATCAGCGTCATCAACTCCAAACCCTCAAACCGGAATGGTGGCATCTCCATCAAGTTTGTCTAATCCAAGCAGTTCCAGTTCTATTGCAGCACAAAATGTCGGTGCTCCATCAACATCAATACCTCATGCACCAACCTTTCATGCCGGTAGTGCAGTTCCCATGCCAACATCTTCAAATGTAGCTGGCAGTCCATCAACATCAACAGGAAAAGCGCCAATGACCCCAATGACCCCAGGGACTCAATTGATACCATTGGGCACTCCTCATACTGTTGACACCAGCGTGACAACAAAGAGCAGTGTCAGTATTCCATCAGCATCAGCTATTAGTGCTTCACCTGAAGTTAGGGTGAGTACAGCTACTACAGGATCCAGCACTCTAACAAACAATGATGGCGTAAGCACAGTTTCAGTTTCAGTGAATTTAGGCAATGATGACACCAACACTGATACAGTTGCAGTTTCAAGTGCTGATACAGTTGCTGTTTCAAGTGCAGCTCAAGGTAGTCCAGCACCCTTGAACAATCCAGGTTCAGGAAGTTCAGGTTCTACCTCTGCCACTGTTGGTGGCAACCCGGTGTCAAGTGGAATAACTTCTACAGCTACTCCAGGATCAAGCACCGTAACAAACAATGATGGCGTAAGCACTGTTTCAGTTTCAGTGAATTTAGGCACTGATGACGCCAACACTGATACAGTTGCGGTTTCAAATGATGCTCCAGGTAGTCCAGCACCCTTGAACAATCCTGGTTCAGGAAGTTCAGGTTCTACCTCTGCCACTGTTGGTGGCAACCCTGTGTCAAGTGGAATATCTTCAGCCAACAATGGTAGCCCAGTGTCAAGTGGGATATCTTCCACGTCAACACCTGGGGGAGGTGAATCTTCAGGGATTGAATTTGTCAGTACCGGCACAACGAGCATCACCTTGAAACCAGCGCAAATTGGTGGTTTGGGTTCAAGGCCAACACTTCAGCCAACAGTACAACCTACTGCACATCCAACAGTAGAACCTACAGAACAACCTACAGTAGAACCTACAGCGCAGCCAACCTTTCAACCAACCCTTGAACCATCAGAGGAAGTCACGGAGGAGACTACAGAAGCCCCAAGCCAAGACACGACACAGGAGGCGACAGCAGTTGCAACCCAGGCTTCCACAGTGGCTCCCAGTCAAGAGACATCATCTGAAGCAACCCAGGAGATTACAGAAGCTCCAAGCCAAGACACAACACAGGAGGCCACAGCAGCTCTGAGCCAAGAGGCAACATCAGAAGCAACCCAGGAATCCACTGAAACCCAAAGTGGGGGGGGGACCCAAGCACCAACACAAGCATCAGCCCAAGGCAGTCAGGAACTTTCAACTCAGGCTCCAACCGAAAAGGGATTGGTGGACACCACTCAAGTCCCCAGTCTGAATGGTACACAAGAATGGACACAGGCACCAAGCCACGAGTCAACACAGGAAAGCACTCAGGAATTTACTCGAGAGGGGACACAGCAAGGCACCATGGATTCGAGCCAGGCGACCACGCAAACTCCAAGTCTGGAGGCAACAGATGAAGCCACACAAGCACCGAGTATTCAAGCTACAGATGAGAGCACAGAAGCGTCAACATCAGAAACCTCTCAATCAGCAACAGAAGAGGAAACGCAAGAGACCACCAAGGGACCAAGTGAAAATCCTACAGTGAACCCCACTCTGGTGTCTTCTTATCCGACCCTTAGGCCAACTGCATGTCTCATGGAAACAGTGGAGAAAACTGTTTTGATGGACTTCAGTGGTGATCTGTCATTGATTACAAACTCTGATCTGACTAGACTATTTGAAATCGCCTTCACATCACTGGAGCACCCCGGATGCCAACCAAAGCTTATTTCCGTTGCTGTATCATCGCGTTCAGCTCGCCGGAATCTACAAGTTCTGAATGTAACCTCAACTGTCCAATTTTTTGTCACCACTAACCAAACTCGATATACAACCCAAATTACCTCTGCCATGCATAAGCAATCTTTCCTTGCTTCATACAATATGGCATTAACAAATGATCAAGTACAAGCTGTTGATGTGTATGAAGAAAAAGCCCAAACCACTCAAATCCCATCATCTAAAGCAACTGGAAGCCCAAGTGACATCCCAACTACACTGTCTCCGACAACCCTTGGTCCGACAACCGTGAGTCCGAGCACCACAGTTCCCTCCACTCAGAGCCCAAGCACAGGCAGTCCCTCCACCGAGAGTCCGAGCACTGGAATCCCAACTACCTTGTCACCGAGCACCGGGGTCCCAACAACGGCCAGCCCCGGCTCCGGCGTCCCAACGACGGATGCCCCGAGCACCGCGGGTCCGACAACGGATAGCCCCACCACGCTGAGCCCCAGCACCTCCGGTCCGACCACTTTGAGCCCCAGCACGTGAATGCCTACCACCCAGTCGCCCAGCACTGCAGGCCCGCACCCACGCTTTTGCCCAGCACGGCTGTTCCCAGTACGGGGATGCCCACAACCCTGTCGCCAAGCACAGCAAGCCCCAGCACTGGCGGTCCAAGCACGACTGGTCCCAGCACCACAGGGCCAACCACCTTGTCGCCCACCACGGTGAGCCCCACCAGCGCCATCCCAAGCACTTCAACCCCCAGCACCTTGGCTCCCACCGTCCCCGTTGCCGAGCCCAGTGCGGCGCCCACCACCTGTCCCCCACAACCCTTGGTCCGACAACCCGTGGGAGTTCACCGCAAAGCACCCCAACAAAAAAGTTTCCCTCCACTCAGAAGCCCAAGCACAGGCAGTCCTCCACGCGAGAAGTCCGAGCACTGGAGTCCCAACACCTTGTCACCGAGCACCGTTCCCAAAAACGGCCAGCCCCAGCTCCGGCGTCCCAACGACGGATGCCCCGAGCACCGCGGGTCCGACAACGGATGCCCCAGCACAGTTGAGCCCGAGCACTAGTGCCAACATACCGGTGCCGCCATACACGCGAGCCACAAGCACTGCAGCCCCCACACTGTCCACAACGCTTTGCCAAGCACGGCGTTCCCATACGGCGGAGCCCAACCACCCTGTCGCCAAGCACAGCATGCCCCGCACTGGCGGTCAAAGCACAACTGGTCCCAGCACCACAGGGCCAACAACCTTGTCGCCCACCACGCGAGACCCGAACCGAAGCGCCAATCCCAAGCACTTCAAGCCCCAGCACCCTGGCTCCGCCGTCTCCCCGTTGGCGAGCCCAGTGCGGCGCCCACCACGCTGTCCCCCACAACCCTGGTCCGACAACCGTGAGTCCGAGCACCACAGTTCCTTCCACTCAGAGCCCAAGCACCGGCAGTCCCTCCACCGAGAAGTCCGAGCACTGGAATCCCAACTACCTTGTCACGAGCACCGGGTCCCAACACGGCCAGCCCCAGCCCGGCGTCCCAACGACGGATGCCCCGAGCACCGCGGGTCCGACAACGGATAGCCCCAGCACGCTGAGCCCGAGCACTGATGGTCCAACAACGGATAGCCCCAGTACAGCGGAGCCCAAGCACTGCAGGCCCCACTACGCTTTCGCCCAGCACGGCTGTTCCCAGTACGGGGATGCCCACAACCCTGTCGCCAAGCACAGCAAGCCCCAGCACTGGCGGTCCAAGCACACTGGTCCCAGCACCACAGGGCCAACCACCTTGTCGCCCACCACGGTGAGCCCCACCAGCGCCATCCCAAGCACTTCAAGCCCCAGCACCCTGGCTCCCACCGTTCCCGTTGGCGAGCCCAGTGCGGCGCCCACCACGCTGTCCCCCACGACCCTTGGTCCGACAACCGTGATACAAACAGTTCCTCCACGCAGAGCCCAAGCACCGGCGTCCCTCCACCGAGAGTCCGAGCACTGGACCAACTACCTGTCACGAGCACCGGGTCCCAACAACGGCCAGCCCCAGCACCGGAGTCCCAACGACGGATGCCCCGAGCACCGCGGGTCCGACAACGGATAGCCCCAGCACGCTGAGCCCGAGCACTGATGGTCCAACAACGGATAGCCCCAGTACAGCGAGCCCAGCACTGCAGGCCCCACTACGCTTTCGCCCAGCACGGCTGTTCCCAGTACGGGGATGCCCACAACCCTGTCGCCAGACGCAGGCCCCAGCACTCGTCCGACACCACGGCCAGCACTGGTCCCAGCACACAGGGAACCCACTCTTGTCGCCCAACTTGAGCCCCACCAGCGCCATCCCAAGCACTTCAAGCCCCAGCACCCTGGCTCCCACCGTTCCCGTTGGCGAGCCCAGTGCGGCGCCAACCACGCTGTCCCCAACAACCCTTGGTCCGACAACCGTGAGTCCGAGCACCACGGTCCCTCCACTCAGAGCCCAAGCACAGGCATCCCTCCACCGAGAGTCCGAGCACTGGAATCCCAACTACCTTGTCACCGAGCACCGGGGTCCCAACAACGGCCAGCCCCAGCCACCGGAGTCCCAACGACGGATGCCCCGAGCACGCGCGGGTCCAACAACGGATGGCCCCAGCACGCTGACCCGAGCACTGATGGTCCAACAACGGATAGCCCCAGTACAGCGAGCCCAGCACTGCAGGCCCCACTACGCTTTCGCCCAGCACGGCTGTTCCCAGTACGGGGATGCCCACAACCTGTCGCCAAGCACAGCAAGCCCAGCACTGGCGGTCCAAGCACGACTGGTCCCAGCACCACAGGGCCAACCACCTTGTCGCCCACCACGGTGAGCCCCCCAGCGCCATCCCAAGCACTTCAAGCCCCAGCCCCTGGCCCCCACCGTTCCCGTGTGGCGAGCCCAGTGCGGCGCCAACCACGCTGCCCCGACAACCCTTGTCCGACAACCGTGAGTCCGAGCAACCACAGTTCCCTCCACTTCAGAGCCCAAGCAACGGCAGTCCCTCCACCGAGAATCCGAGCACTGGAATCTCCAACAACGGCCAGCCCCAGCACCGGCGTCCCCACACGACGCCCCGAGCACCGCGGTCCGACAACGGATAGCCCCACCACGCTGAGACCGAGCACTGATGGTCCAACACGGATAGCCCCAGTACAGCGAGCCCCAGCACTGCACCCCCACAACACTGCCGCCCAGCACGGTTTTGAGTTTTCTGTCCCAATACGCGGGAAGCCCACATACCCTGTCGCCAAGTACGCAAGCCCCAGCACTGGCGTTCCAAGCACC